AAAGAAAGAAAGAAAGAAAGAAAGAAAGAAAGGAAGGAAGGAAGGAAGGAAGGAAGGAAGGAAGGAAGGAAGGAAGGAAGGAAGGAAGGAAGGAAAAGAAAAGGAACATGAAAGTTGTCATTAATTCTGAAATGTCTTACATCAATTATTAACTCGGTTTTTATTTCATCATCTCAATGGGGTGCAATCTTTATGCAGAGATTAACCTGAATTTGCATGAGACCCAGTCTCCTAGGAGAAATCCTTAAACATAGAAGAGGGGAGAATAATAGGCCATAGATATGACACGTGGCATCAACATCAATTTCCTGCCATTTCTGATGATGAAGATGAAGGAAGAGAGACATTGCCTAAGTTAGAGTGATACTTAGAAGCTGAGACTATCATCCTTTACATGGCTAGCAGGAATATGGATTCTTCAAATCAATATCTAAAGTTGTCCAATGCCTCAAAGAACCAGAAAACTGACCTACCCTTAGTACTTCATAAAGGAAAACAGCCTGCCTGCAGATACTTTGATTTCCCTCATGACAAGCCTATGGTGTGGTAAACATCTAACCCATGGATCTTTAAGATAATGCAATTGTATTTGTTTTAAGCCCCCAAGTCATGGCAGCAAGAGAAAATCAATTCAACCAGCTTAGTAAAAATAAAGTTAATTTCTAGGGAAGAGTATTCCAGATTGAAGAAACAACAATATAGAGGCCCCAGAATAGCAAGAAGTTTACTGTATTTGTTAAGCAAATAAACAGGAAAATGAATATTCAATAGACCTGAAGCCTGATGGGAAAGGGGAGAGTGAAGTGAAGTAGAATGAAGGAAAAAGTTTGGTGGGATTTAGAATTTTACTGGCTCAGGGGTGGGCTCTGGATTTATTCTTAATGTAATTAAAAGATAGCCTGCCTCTATCTAAAGGCTTGAAAGCCATTTTATAGAAGAGACAAATTAGGTTCATTCATGTTTTTTATTAAATCTCTGTTTCTCAAGGATTGGGTTATATCCCACAGTGACCTTAGCTACAAATGGTTCTACAATACCTGCTTCAGGGGATGGTAACCATGCCTTTGTTTCAAAAAAGTTAAGACTACCTTACAGCTATATCTTTGTTTCAGGAGGTTGTTATGCCCCACTTGTTCTTACATGTTCTGCTTCTGTAACCATGCCTACTTGCTTGCCAAGTCCCCCATTTTGAAATCCCCTACTCCTGAATTATAAAAGCCTTATTTCTCCCATGTTTAGTGATGATTTCTTGAGTCCTTCCTTTAAGGAGAAACAGTCCATGGACATGAATTAAAAAGCTTGCTTTAATTAATTTGGCCATGACGACTTGGGTCACTGGTCTTTCTCCTTTCCTCTGTGGGATTAATAATACTGAAAAAGTTTAAGATATGATATCATTTAAACATTATTCTGGGTGTTCTGTGATAAATGGCAAGATAAAAAGTTACAAGAATGACTGGGAAGTAACATATTGGTCCATGTAAGAAATGACAGTGCATAGGATGGTGGCAATGTGCATGGAGAAAAAAGGTGAAATTAGGATGAACCTGGACTTGGAAAACTGGAAGTTCATGAAAGTCTCAAGTGACTCAGCATTTTGCTGTAGGGAATTGGTTGGCTGTTAAAGCTGTTTCTTTATGTGGAAGAAATTGGAGAGGAAAACCTAATCTCTGTTGATTACAGATGATAATCAGTCAGAAAGCCGAATTTCAAAATATACATTTATGAAGTGCTCTGGGAATATGTGGATTTCTTGTTTGTAGGAGACTTATCATTTTCTCTAATGTGTATTTAGAGCATGTATTCAAGGATGAACTCCATGTAACTGAATATAATTCCTTTAGCATCTCCAAAGATGTGACTCCTGTGCTGTGAATGCTCTATTCCCAGGAATTATGGAATTTTAACTTACACAGGCATGTGGTATATTAGTCAGGTATCTTATTATGACACCTTACTTTAGACATCGTTAAAAAAAAACAGGACTGGAAAGAAATATACATAAAGCAATGTCACTGTACTATTCAAAGTGAAAAATACATAATCTACAACCTCCAGCATTAAAGTAACAGATTTCATCATATAAAAAAGGATAAGAAATTAAGAAATAATCAAATAAAAATGATCAATAAAAATGGAGGTCAACTATCTGCGTTAGCATTTGAACAGAACCTTTGTAACAACCATAGTAAATATGTTCAAGATAAAGCTAGATCAAGTCAAACTGTACAGTGCACTTTGCAGAGAAGTAAAAATTATGGAGACAATAAGGAAATTTCAGAAATGAAAACTTTAATATTGGAAATGAAAATGCCAACAGATAGGTTAACAAGTAGGTACTATTGTGAAAATGGAACTGATGAATTTAAAAGAGAGCAGTAAAAATTATTAAAGTGAAGACCTCATGGAATTCGACTACTCCTTTAAAATGTCATCAGTGACATAGACTCACTCCCTCACAGCAATCCACAAGGGCAAATTATTTAAAACAAAATCAACTATTCTTAATCTCTAAAATTCTCCTGTCCTACTCTTGCCTCAATGTGACAAATGGTCCATGTATAACTGTGGCCAAGAGGATGTCGATGTTCTTTCTCCAGCCAGCCTCCTCTTACAGGGTGTTGAGGGACTTGGAGAATACTGGTTTCTTAGTGACTCCTACCACAGCTTTTTCACTGAGGAGAAGTTTCATGGTGAGAGATGGATGCCAATAAATCCAGATGTTCTCACTAGAGCTTCTCACTCATGAGCTCAAGGTGTCATTCTTCCAAAAACAGACCACAATCTCCACACTCACAGATTTTGTCACTGGGTAAATCAAGTCTAGCTCCATAATCTCTTCCCCAAAACTTAATTATTTGAAATAGTTGTAGGAAAGGTCAATCGCCAGGTCACTCTTAAAAACAACGAAGATTTTGAGAGTAAGCCATTTTAAAAAACGAGGCTACTAACTCATTAATTACGAACTATAGGATGTCTTCCAACAGACAGTCAAGGAAAAGGAAGAGCTAAAAGGCCTTTTAGAGTAAATGTCAATGCCTGGCCTCAAAACTTCCCCTCCAGAGTGGTCTAGATTTAATTGAATCTGACTAAAAAGTAGTTGATACATAAGGGCATTGTTGAAAACTGTGTAACAATCACCTGGCAATTAGTGTAGCCACACAGTTGGCATATTGCCAATAGAACCCAGCAGTTTAATAGAAAAGGAATCCAGAAAAGAGATAATGCAAGAGGCTTCTACATTATGTCATCCCAGATGACTACAAAGTAAAACACTGGAGGGTGCCTCCTCCAATCTCTTGACTGATATCAAAAACAAGTACACAAATAATGTTTATGTAATTAAATTTGGATCTATACAATTTGACATGTGCTACATTCATAATTAATGCAAAGAGGGGAAGATTTAGAGTACAAAAAGAAGTGACAACAAATGCAGACATGGATCTACTGTAAAAGAAGACAAGACTCAGAAATGTCAAATGTGCGTAAAGTGTGAACTGGATAGCCTTTTCTTTTTAGTGGCTTTATGAAGATACAAAATTATATAAAGTAACTTATAACAGCTCTTTATCACAACCATAGTGTATGCCATTGTGATATGTATGACAACATGACAAAGGTGAAATCGAGCACACAGGAATGGTATTTCTGTACCATACCTCATACTTCTCTTTACTAAAGAACAGAAGTGTGTTGTTATGAATTAAATGCAAATTATAAGCAAAAAGAAAATAGTGTTGGAAATACAGTAAAAGTATAACTCAGTGAATTAAGATGTCATATAAGAAAATTTTAATGCAAACAAGAATTGTCAAGAAAGAAGAGAACAAATGAACAAATAGTCCTAAACTGAGAAGACAGAAGTGATGTGGCAGGTGTAAATCCAAATATCTAGGCAGTCATTTAGATCTTAAAAAATAAGTTATATAATTTAATGAGATGATTGAATGATTTAAAGACTATATGAAAAAATTCCTTAAAATAGAATGCAGACAAGAAACACAATTTACCTTCAGAGTGAGTCACGACGTGTGGAGATTGGAATGACAGATGAAGCTATATCATGTAGACAGCAACCACGAAACAGCCAGAATGATTACACTAAAATCAGAGATACCAACTTTAAAACAGAGAATATTAGTAAAAACGATGAAGATAAAAGAATCCACTAGGAATACATAACAATTATAAACATATATTCAAATATGCACATCACAATTGAGACCCCAAATACATAAAAGTTGGTAATTTGGTAATAGTACTTGGATGTGTAATTATTAAATTTTCAAAGACAGAATAATTAAGCACGGGTAAATATGAAATTAGAATCTGTTACTAAAAGCTAGGCTCATTTACACACATAAACACAGTATATTTACATAACTTCAGTGTGAGATGGAAAACACAGATATCCAGCCTTCTACTCCAGGTTAAAAAGATCTAAAAGTTAAAACTATGTGGAAATAAGACAGCAATTGCTTATGCCATAAGTTCCTGTACATACAAAGTCAGCTTCAGGGTCTGGGGTTACAGCTCAATTGGTAGAGTGTCTGCATAGGCCATGGGTTCTATCACGCAGAGATTACTTTTTCTTTACAAATGATATTTAATTGTTCAAAGTTTGGTTAACTGGATATGAAGGGAATACTGCAGATTTCCTCTTGATCTAGTAATGATATATCAACTACATAAGTCTGTTCCCCCCAAAAAGTATCTGTTACAATTTGTACTTTGTATTGTAAGTGACTAAACATTTATTCAGTTTGTGTGTGTGTGAAACATCTTAGCTGATATGATTTTCTAAGGTGTGAATGTCAACCAAAACAAGAAATACTTTCTATCATATTGAGTTTAAGGTATAGTGATAGAAACAAGTAATTAACCAAGAGCTTATTCAGCTAATAATTGGATTGATTAAGCATGACAGCATTAGAAGAGCCTATAACTTAGTGATTTAACTTAATCTGAAAAGAAAGGCAAATGTTTGAAAACAGAAGTATTGATTGAGCTGAGATGTGATGAAAAGGAATTTGGGTGAATGATGAGGAAGCATAATCTCTAAGAAGTAGATTCTCACATGAATGTCAGATGGCTGGAAGGTTAGAGAGCTGGGAACTTTCCTATAGTATGCTTATTCCTTTTTTCTCTCAGTGTATTTATACATGTGTACTAATCATTTAATACATTGCGTTAGCATGGCCTCTGGGCTTCCAACTCTTTCCATTTGCTTTGGTATTCTTTGTAAGATTATTGATTAGTATGTGCACAATTCTCAAATGTTTAGGCTAAATTACTACCTTGAAATACTTTAAGCAGTTTTTAGGGCTCAAAAACAAATTTTGGTAAAATATTTAATTTTATGTGACTCACTCTTATTAATTGAAATAAATTAGGCTGTAGGCATGAGCCATACCATGTTCCTTCTGAGTATCTGTGCATTGACATGTGTCTGAACCTTTGATTTTTAATATTCTTAGGTGTAAGTACTTTTGCAGTAGTTTTTATGGTCACGAATCTCTGGCTACCTTTATTCCCTTTTAACCTTCCAATTTGCTTATTCTTTTAAGCACTGTACATGTGATGATTACTAAATTCTCAATGAGTCTTGGTGTGGTGGTGTGGTACAAGCCCCAACACAAGGGAAGCAGAGGCAGGCAGACCTCTGTGAGTTTGAGTCAACCTGGTCAATGCGGGTCATCCAGAAATATGAATGACAGCCTGTCTCAAAACACAAACAAATAAAAAGTTTAATGACAGTATTACTAGACTATTCTAAGTCTATATTAGCCTGCAATGCTTCTTTGTATGTTCATGTCATCCATACATGTTGTGTTGTGCAGAGCGCCTATTCATTGGCATTTTCTTCATGAGCATCCTCATGTTAACAATCTGGCCTGTGATGATTAACAAAGTGGTGTTTTCACCTCTCCCGCCTCCCCATAGTAGAATGTGAGACATTACCTGGTGACCTTGTATGTTGTCCCACTGCCACCTGGTGGTACATGTACACAAAAGGCAGCAAAGCAAGGAACAAGTTCCATCTACACAAAACTTACATGTTCACAGAGGCATAGCTTAAACATTTTTCATTTCTAAGTCTGGACTCTTTTAATGAAGTATACACAAATTCCTAAAAATCGTTCATGATAAAATGGTTAATGGTAGAGCAAAATGTCCTTAATGAAGAAAATGTGAATGGAACAAAAACCAACTTTTAAGTTTTGAAATACCACCTTGAATACTCAAAGTACTTTTTAAGGATAAGAATAGATTTTGGTAAAAAACTTAGCTTAGTTGTCAATTTAACATTTTTTAAGGAAAGAACAAATGGGCCAACACGAATATATATTATGATAAATTATTTGAATTGTGTAGCTCTTGTTCATGCTCTTGTTTGAGTTCCAGTCATTTCGAAGCTAAGACTTCCAAAACTAAAGTTTTTATTATTTTTTAAATTTCTTGCCTTTATGTTTAGTTCCTCTGTCTGTATTATAATGTAGATTACAATGAAGTCATGTGTTAACTGGTATATTTTTCAAAGTCTGGTAATTCCATTATATTACCTGAAATATCATTTTTAAGGAAATAATATTGTAAAATATCACTTGGTCTCTCCCTATTTAAATGTGTCCAATTCATTATGCTTTGGTGAATGAATTGTGAAAGTCTAGTGTTGACTTCTCTTATCCACTATTTCTATTTTCAGAGTTTCTCATTTGAGACTTTTCCACATGTCACAGTTGTGTGTATGTGTCAATATAATATGGATATTTCATTTGAGTTATTCTTATATACTGTGGTGTATTTTTGTATTAGAGCTAACTGAGTCAGTGTGTACATAGTCTGTATAAATCAGTGCTTTGCATTTTTAGCAAGCTTCTCCACATAGTGCATCTGGCTCTCAAAAATTCTCTTACTGTAGAAACGGGGAAGAAAATAGACTAATTATCTTTATTTTGTGAGCCAAAATATAGAAATCTAAACTGACAGAAGAGAAAAAATTTAATCTAGTTTTAACACCAATGGTTTTTGTCTTTGTTTTTTTCCCTATGTCACAATGAACATTGGACAAGATTCTATTGCTTTTTGAATGATCACTAAAACCTAACACCCTTAAAGGATTCAGCATATTTCTCAGGAAAGGATTTCAGGACAATGTGGTACAGTAAAGGGCATGATCTTTGGTTTTACCAGGACTAACACATACCATAGCTAAAACAACAAAACTATAACACATCCCTTTCCTCTCTGTTTAATAAGAGGATTAGAGTTACTTTATGCAAAGCTCTTAGCACGGTGCCTGGTTTATAGTAAGTATTAAGATGGCCATTATCATTAAGAAGAAAACACAAAGCAACAATATTCATGTGGATCGGACTGGTACTATAAATCGGTCCTCCTTGATAACTGAACTGACAATATGTTACCTGAAACTTGCTACTAGATATTACTCCAGAATTTGAGAGCTTCTCTGTGGACCCATGTAGTGCCCAGCATCTCATTTTTACTGAAGGGAGGAAATGTATGAATGTCATTAGTTTTGATACTTAGTTTACAAATCTGGATATGGTTAGTCCCAGTCCACTGGTCCATAAGGATACATTTTATTCCTAACCATTTAACAAGTTATACGTAATAAAATGGATAAAAAAGAAAGAGAGAGAGAGAGAAGAAGAAGGAGGAGGAGGAGGAAGGAAGGAAGGGAGAGAGAAAGAATAAAAGAGAGAGAGGGAGGGAGGGAGGAAGGGAGGGAGGAAAAAAGGAAGGAAGGAAGAAAGAAAGAAAGAAAGAAAGAGAGAGAGAGAGAGAGAGAGAGAAAGAAAGAAAGAAAGAAAGAAAGAAAGAAAGAAAGAAAGAAAGAAAGAAAGAAAGAAAGAAAGAAAGAAA